ACACACACACACACACACACACAAACTACTTCGGTATAATAATTAGAAAACAAACTGAAAGTGAGAAGCAACTAGCTCTTAGCCTTGACCAAGCCCCCGTACTTCCCCCAAACACTTATAGGGGCTGTTCAAATATAATCTTACACCTTTTGGGGGATTTTTGACCCCCCTCCCCCCTTCTTACACTTTTCTTACATTTGCCTCTCCGTAATAATACTTTGTTCGCTTATAATTATAATGATAAAAATATTATGACCTTTATATCGCGCAAATCCGTGAAACAATCATTGTTCTGGGCGCATTGCATAATATTCATGAAAAATATGCATACACACACATACATGCACAATAATATATGCACTAAAAATAATACTTGTCACGACATGATGGGATCAGGCGCTCGTCAGTTTTGAGGCATACAGAGTTATTGATATCATCTTAATTTGAGCCTGTCCATTTGCCTCCCTTTTGATGAAAACGAATTCATCTATGCTGAATAGAAGTCGAAATATTTGTGATTGAATGAAGTGTGGGTCTCCTGATTTCAGAGGTAATTTAGTGAGAAAACGCCGCCAAAGTTTGACAACCTCAATAGCTCGAGAGCCTTTAAAACTGAAAAATCACATATTATTTTGAGCATGTAATGAACATTTTTAAAAGTAAAATTCGCATGTAAAAGGTGTTAAGCCGAAAAACAAAATTTAAATAAAAGTTACCAAACCTGCCAAAAAATGCCAGTATTTTCACTTTCATCATTTTGCCGAACGCCTGATTTCACCACGCTGCCTCACAATAGAGTAAATCATTCAAGCAAAATATTGCATAGATCTACACTCTTTCTTATTGATAAGGAAAAAAGTGAGACTCATGTCAATGACAAAAGCGCCTTAATTACAAATAAAACAAGTTACAGTGGAATTCTGATAAAGTCAACACCCCGGACAGAAAAAAAGGGTTGACTCTGAGCAAGGTTGACTTTATCCGTTGTACTACTGGCTGTTGAAAATTGAAGATGACAGCTACAAAATTACAAAGTACTTGGTAATATACAAGATGTAATCTCAATTTCAGGGAGTAGGCTTATAATTCTGAAGTTGTCGCCAAAACAAGAGATATGAAAGACCAAAGTAATCGAAGGTGTGTACACCACTTACATTATAACTAGCTCAGGCGAAATATTTCTTCTTAAATGATTCATCTTGGGATTTAGCACCAAATTGTTGACTTTAACCAAGCTTAACACCCAAGCGGTTGACTGTATCAGAAACACAATTAGATCTACTTAAAATTACTTTAAACAAAGAAGGTAAAAAACGGGACCACAGTGAGGTGTTGATTATAAGCAAGAGTTAAGTTGACTTTACGAAAGTTGATTTTATCAGGATTCCACTGTATCTGTTATTACTGATAATTAATTATGCTGAAAACAAAAAGTGAAATTAGTTATCGTCAACAAAGTCAGTGTTCACCATTATATCAAAAATATTTCTTCACCTCACAAAAGTGTAATATTACATTAGTTCAAGACCCCCC